AAACAACCAGTGTTTTACTCCCTCTCTTTCATTCCCCTTAACACACATGTCTGCACACACACATATCCCTAATTGATCATAACCATTCAGATCTTCTCAAATACTTCCTTCTGATCCCCCTGCCCCAACCCCAGCTCAGGTGCTCATTATCCGTCACTTGAATTAACACAATCTTCCCCTTGCTTGTTTCCCTACCTTTGTTCATTCAATAGTTCAATAAACATTCATTTGCAAGCTGACTATGTTGGGCCTTGCTCTGGCCTCTCTCTGTCCTATCAGTAGAATCTCCTACTGCTTCCAGCTACATTTCTCAAGTTCAGATCTGACTCTGTTACTGTCCTTGCTTTAAAATCTTTGAATAGGATCAAGTACAAACCTGTTTGCATGGCTCTTTATGGCTGGACCTTCACTTCCTGCTCACATCCCTGCCTAGGCACCCCTTTCCTGCCGCCCTGCAGGCACCCTCTGCTCCCAGATTTTGAAGGGAGGTTCTTGACAGCAGAGGATAAGCACACACACTGAGGACTCTGCCACACTTTGGGGCAAACTCTGTGGGCTTTTTACCAAGTCTCTTTGCTATGATTGAACTAAGTAATAGGAAAACATTTTATTTTAGTTTAGAACCATTAGACAAAAACTTAAAAGCAAATAACACTTTTTAATATGCAGCTTTTAATGAGTCACTTTTTCAGGAGTGGCTCCCAGACACAGTCCTCATCCACTGGCAGATCAGGTGCTCTCCTACTTGTCTACTCAATTTAACAGGCTGCTCTCCTGGGTGTGTGTGGGGGGGTGAGGGGGATGGGGACGTTGTCTGAGTCGTCATTGGCCTGGCCACCATTGACAGGGGACTCAAGAGCAGGGCCCACTTCTGCTTGTGGAGGTACGACATCATGTCATATTTGGACATGTCACTTTTTAACTCTTAAACTTAGAGCCTTCTGCTGATGTGCCATGGTGAAAATGTGATTTTAAGGTGGAGATTAGAGATGAAGAGATAGATTTGGAATTTATGTGTACATAATTGGTCACTGATGATGTGTACAGAAATGGTCACTGATAATTAGAGGACATATGTACACCATGAAAAGGCCTGGATGACAACCCCTAGCCTTGGACTATCGATGGGTTCATCCAACTCCTGCGGAGTGCAGCACTGAGCCTGCCTTGAACAGGATGGTTTTGCCTCTATGAAGGAACCTGAGGACCTCTTCAGGAGGGCTTCATGCCTACAGACCTGCCATTCACTCAGCACACTCACTGAGCTCCTGTGATGATTCAGTCACTGGGAAGGGTATAGTGGCTGGGAGAGAGACCAACAGTCCCTGCAGGCCAGCTACCTCATATCATGCTCCTAAGCAGCTAAGTGTATTCAATAGGCAAATTAGGAAAGTCCTCTTACCTAGGCCACCTCCTGAGTCAAGTATCTTACATTTATTTATTTATCCAGCAAAGATATACTGAGCACTACTATGAGCCAGGAACTTTTCTGAGTTGGGGTATAGTAATTAACAAGATAGACTAATACGCTGGTCCTCAATGGAGCATATATTTCAGTAGGTGTAGGGGCGTGTGTGGTGGGGATGGGAGACATAAAAATAAATGAGTAAAAGACACAGAATGTTTGAAGGTATTTGTAAACCAAGGAACCAGACTGGGTGGTGTGAGGGAAGAGAAGTGATATTTTTAAATAGGGCTGTTGGCCTCCCTGAGAAGACATTTGAAGAAATATGTGCAGATCAGGGAACAAGGACACTGCCCCCGCCCCCACAGTCTGTGCATTTTTTGCTGTAAATATTTCAGAGCTACATTTCCAGGACAAAAATGGCGTGTTCTCTCTACCAACAGGAAAGAAGGCAGAAAGAAAAAAGAGGAAAAGATCGGCACAAGAGAAATTATTCCATGCTGAACACTGCCTGATGGACACTTGAAAACCAGCTCCCAGGGCAGAGCAGGGCCCACCACGCCAAGGGGCTCCCCGGGGCCCCTCTCTCAGGCTGTCAGGCTAATCCGGCAGCCTACTCCCACTCCGATCCGCCCTAGGGGACGTTTGCTCCGGAGAGTCAAGTTCAGACTCCGCCGACACCAGCCGGGGAGGAGCTTTGAAGAGAACTGCATGGCAACCGTCCTACGGGAGCCGACCCCAGGCTCCGAGGGCAGCGGCCAAAAACCGGGAAGCGGGCAGTGGCCACGAGCCTGGCCTGCGGAGCCAGGGCTCTGGACACCTGGTGGAGCTCTCGCCCCTCGCCGGACGGCGCCCAGTACAGCGCCCTGCGGAGCCAGCCTTCTCGGCGGGCACAGAACTTTCTTTCCTGAAATTGCCAACCCCCCGGGGCACACCCTGTGCCCGGAGCCGGCGAGCAGGGAACCCCCTTCGGGCCGCAGCCCAACAGGCTAGGAGACACCAGATTAAGCGGGCGTCCTTTCCAGGCTTCCCGACAACACTCCCAGAGGCTCTGTTTTGCCAGGCCCCGGTCTCTCCCGCGCCGAGTTGCCCAACAAACCATTTAAACATTTCAGCACAAAACCGAATAATCCATTGTGGGCCGCACATTAAAAAGTGTTATTCGCTTTGAAGTTTTTGTCTAATGGCTCTAAACTGAAAGAAAATGTTTTCCTATTACTTAATTCAATCATAGCGAAGAAACTTGGTAAAAAGCCCACGGATTTTGCCCCAAAGTGTGACAGAGTTCTCTTTGTGTGTGCTTATCCTCCGCTGTCACACACTTTAATTCGCCTCTCTTTATCTGGCATTCAAAACTTTCTTCAATGACATTCAATAAGGTCCAGAAGCTGGAGGGGGAAAAAAACTGGTTATTCCCCCCGCCTGTCCCCCACCCCATATTCTTTCCCAGTAGCTTTGGCTTTGCTCGCATTCAGGGGCTCTTAACCCTTTCCCTCCCCCGGCGAGGGCGGCGGCTCCCGGCTCCAGACGCAGCGACCGTCCCTTTCACCCCTCGGGCTCCGTCCGCACCCCGCGCCTCTCCCACCCGCCTCTGCCCAGCAGGGAGGCCCTCTTCTGGCCGCGGTTCCTGGCTCTCGGTTCAGCCCCAGCGGTTCAGGTCAGCCCGAATTTCGCCGAGAGAAATTAGAGTCGGCATGAGGCTTCCCCGATGCAAGCGGTGTGGTTTGCAAACACCAGCCTGGAGCGAGGAGCCTTGCGGAGCACACAATGTCGTTGGGGACAACAGTGACCCCCGCTTCCCCGCCTTCGTCCCGTGCCAAGCAATCAAGGAGGCTTTGGTCCCTTTAGTCAACCTGCTAGATGACAGGTTATTTTCCCCACTGCCCGCTCCCTTTTCTAGAATCGGTTATTTTCTGGCAAACACATTCTCTTCGCTTTTTAATCAGTTACAATTTGTTACTGAGGTTATTGCAAAGACTTCATCGATGATGAAAACCCATGAGCACGCCTTGGTCTGGGGCAGTCTTCTTGCGGTGCAACGATCCCCTCTCCATTTCTCACAGTTCTATTCAGAGAGCAGGAGACTGCAGTGACTTGGTTCCAATAAAATCGAAAGTAAACGTCTTCCGTGGAAAGTCCGGGGCTGTAAATTCGAAATATTTATGCTAATTTCCCATTGTATGGAAAAGGCTCCTGCGCAAAGCTTTGAGACCGCTGATGATTTAAAAAGCTGTGCTCTGTACACAGCGCCAAGTGTTTGAAGTTGTTTAACCATTGTGTGACCAGAAAGAAGAGTGACGCGGCAGGAGAAGGTCTGGCGGAGAGGGGTGCTCGGTGGGGGTGGGCCATGGCAGCAGGGCTGAGAATACAACTGCCCCTCGCGCGGCTCTCGAGAGGCCGAACTTCGCGAAAGCCGCGGGTTCCCAGCGCACCCCAGAGTCTATGGGGTGCGCACGAGCGGAAAGGACGCTGGCGGAGAGCGTCTACACTCGCCAGTCCGGGGAGTGCGGGGGCGGGGCTGTGAGATCTCGGTCTTCCAGGTCTAGGCTCTCATTTCCTATCCCTTGTCTCCAGCCGCAACTCTCAGCGACTGATTTGCTCTTTGCATCCACAGCCCTGGTGAACGAAACTGCTTGTGGACAAGCATCTACCTAACAAAGACTGGGCGTTATAGGCAACATCAAAGTTAAGGCTAGTTGAAAAGCTTAGAGAAAACAGAGAGACACCGATGGGGCTAGTGGAGGGTAAGGAGTATCTAGTCCTCCTCTCTCCCCAGCGGTGCCCCCCCCTCCCTTGCAAGAACCCCGGTCCTCCTGCTTCCAGACACAGGGAGAGAGAAAGAGAGATTCCACAGGTGGAAATCCCAGGCCAGCTGTAGAGACGTCCTCGGGGTGCACAGCGCTGAACTGAGCGCACTGAGTGGAGGCAGCATGATCTTATGGACAGGGTGAGGTGAAAGAAGGAAGGGGACGGAGACCAAGTGCGCCGAGAAGATAGGGGTGCGTGTTCATGGAGATCTGTGGGAGCAAGGCAGCAGCGGAGGGGGTGCAAAATCAATAAGATAAACAGGCCAATAGCCAATACAAAGCCAAAGGGGAGCAAGGAATAAAGAGAAAGAAAAGAATATTAAATTGTAGGAAAATGAGAAAATAAACCCGCAAAAGAAAGAGGAGGGGCGAGGGCGCCTGTTACGGCGTGGGTGGGGTTGACAAGAATAGAGTACATTATGCAGTTCATTTAGTTAACAAGTGAAATAATGAGGAAGCGTGCAGAGTGAATGCCAAGAGAAAAGGCACAAAAACCCTATTGAGAGGCCCGGGCCGCTCCTGGCGTAGCCCATCACATGGCAATAGTCCTATTTAAGCGGCGCCGCCGGAGCCTTTCAGCACCACTAGCGCTGGCCAGCACCCCGCGCTCTTTGGGCGGCGCCCACTGCTGCAGCGGAGGCGGCTTCAGCCTCAGCTTCAGAGGCGCTTTCTGCCTTCCGGGAAGTGGCAGCTGCGCGCGGCCACCGCCGGTGGAAGCGCGTGGAGACCGCCGAGGTCAGCAAGGCTCAGAGAGCGGGCTGGCGGCGGGGCGACCACTCATTGGGGCCATGCCTCGCTCCTTCCTGGTGGACTCGCTAGTGCTGCGCGAGGCGGCCGAGAAAAAGGCGCCCGAGGACAGTCCGCCGCCGCTCTTTCCGTACGCGGTGCCTTCGCCGCACGCACTGCACGGCCTCTCCCCGGGCGCCTGCCACGCGCGCAAGGCCGGGCTGCTGTGCGTGTGCCCGCTCTGCGTCACCGCCTCGCAGCTGCACGGGCCCCCCGGGCCGCCGGCGCTGCCTCTGCTCAAGGCGTCCTTCCCGCCCTTCGGCTCGCAGTACTGCCACGCGCCCCTGAGCCGCCAGCACTCGGCCGGGCCCCCTGGGGTAGCTCACGGCCCCGCCGCCGCCGCCGCCGCCGCAGCGCTCTACCAGACCTCCTATCCGCTGCCCGACCCCAGGCAGTTCCACTGCATCTCCGTGGGTAAGCCAGGCCACCGCGCGGGGCACAGGACGTCGGTGGCCCGATGAAAGTTGACGAGTCAGAGATGGGGGACAAGGGACCCCGGGGGTTATGGGGCGATGAGGGTCACGTCAGGGCCTTGAGGGGGACACTCACGGTGGTGTTGGAAAGGAGGACTAGGATAGGACGCCGGGAGGGAGGGTGAAAGCAGAAGACCCAGGTCCTGGAGGGAGCGAGGACTGGGATTCAGGGCCGCACGACTCCGGGAGGATCAGAGTCCCATGGCTTGACAAGGAGGTGCCCGCGGTCACGCTGCTGTGCATCGTGTTCTGGGCAAAGAGGTGGGTGAGAGACAGAGGTCCTGGGGATCCTAAATGCCGCCTACCAGAAATCGGGCCCACAGCGCAGGGTCTGATCGCTTCCCTCTCTCACCCCCGCTCCCCCCAGACAGCAGCTCGAACCAGCTGCCCAGCAGCAAGAGGATGCGCACCGCCTTCACCAGCACTCAGCTGCTGGAGCTGGAGCGCGAGTTCGCCTCTAACATGTATCTGTCCCGCCTGCGCCGCATCGAGATCGCGACCTACCTGAATCTGTCTGAGAAGCAGGTGAAGATTTGGTTCCAGAACCGCCGGGTGAAGCACAAGAAGGAGGGCAAAGGCAGCAACCACCGCGGCAGCGGCGGAAATGCGGGTACCGGCGGGGGCGCACCGCAAGGCTGCAAGTGCGCCTCGCTATCAGCCAAATGCTCAGAGGATGACGACGAATTGCCCATGTCTCCGTCTTCTTCGGGGAAAGACGACCGAGATCTCACGGTCACTCCCTAGGCGTATGCCTTCCCAGGTCGCCCACCCCCAGGCCCTTCTTGCACCCCAAAGACTGGTTCTGGGACTCAGCGCTGGGTCCCAGGCACCCGCTGCCGAACGGCGACCAAGCACGGATTTGGCACGGCTTTGCAGAGGCCCTTGGTTCTGGGCAGCGCCAAGAGTTTGGCAGAGATCTGACGCTAGTATCCCCACCCCAGGGCCCGTGGCCGTTCAGAGCGGACTCCAAGCTGTGAACACTGCGAGAACTCGAGTCGCTCTCGGCCGTGCGCATAGCGGCCCCCGCGAGCAGGCCGGCCGGGCCCAGCGCCTTGCTGGCCGCCAGCGCCTCCTCGCCCACACTCTGAACTCGTTCAGGGGGCCTTACTTCCTCTACTCTGCCCACTCTGAGTCAAAGTCGCCCTTTCACCCCTCGGATACCTGTTCGGTTCCCGTTCCTCCCTCCCTCCCTCCCTCCCTCCCTCCCTCCCTCCCTCCCTCCCTCCCTCCCTCCCTTCCTTCCTTCCTTCCTTCCTTCCTTCCTTCCTTCCTTCCTTCCTTCCTTCCGTTCTTTCCCTTGCTACCTCGTCCCTGTGGTCGTTTATCCAAACCCCTCACACGTTTATGAGCCCGTTTTTTTCCTTTTCCTTTCCCTCTCTCCCTCCCCGCCAGGATCCTCCTCCCAAGTTCAATCGACCCACTTCTCCTCAACCAGGCCTTGCTGTCCCTGAGGCTCCTCTTCCAGAGGAAAAATCTCCCCCGTGATGTTTGTGTGGGGGGAACTAATTTAACTTTGTTTTGGAGATGTTCTGCCTTCCCCTAGAGGTCCTGGTTCTCTTCCTCTGGAGGCCCCTCTCTTACCCCCGGGCCTAGCTGTGTAACTGTAAGGTCTCTGTAATACCAGAAGATATTTATTTATTTATTTATGTAAAAAATTTTAAATAAACTTTTTTTCTTAGAAATCCATGTGACTCTGGACCTCCAGACTCCCTAAGTGGACTGGACAGGCTCCTGCCAGGGTTAGAATTTCCCGCTGGGGCGGGGCAGGGAGGGAGCCACGGGTCCACGCTCTGCCCCTCATCTCTCCCCATGTTCAATCCCACAGAGACTCTGGTGGCGTGCACTCCCTGGTCTCCAGCTCAGGCCTGGTGCACACATTCTGGAGAGGGCAGAGAGCCGAGCCCCAAGAGAAGGAGGGGGCCCTCCCCGTGTTGTGCTGTAGGTCTCAACACCTGTAATGCCCCCTCCAACCTGGGGTCATTGGCACCCCCAGTCATCTCTGTTTGGCTGTCCCAACCTCCATTGCCCAGGGCAGAAATTACCCTGCTCCAGTTTAAGAACTCTGTCCTTTGCTGTGCTCCAATTGGTAACTATTTGTTAGAAACAGATTACCAACGGGATGGTTCAGCCTCCTCTCCGGAAGGCCCCTCACTTTGTTTTGAGGCCAATTCTGTTTCAGGGACAGTGTTAGGCAGAGGTTCTGAGAATTCAGCGATTCTGTGCCAAAATCCCCACACGGATGGTCTCACAGATTCTTGCTGCCATACCACAGGCCTCCACAACTTAGAATCTACACCCCAACCTTCCTTGTGAAGAGGTGAGGGGGTGAGAGGGAGGAGAGGGACTAGCCCACATGTTACTGGAACGAAAAGAAATAAGAGGTTGCGGGGACGGTGTTCCGCAGTGATGGAGAGCACTGGGCCACCCAAGAGAGGTATTTCTGTCCCTCAGAAAATTGGATATGGGAAATGGCCTGCCTGCATTCTCAAGAATCCTCAAGACTCATATTCTGAGTCTTGGAGACTGGGACCACTTCTTTGCTGGCCAGAAATCCTACCCACCAGCACACACACCCTCGGTGGTGCTCAGACTCTGAGTATCTAGGCAAATCAAACAAACACCTGCATCTCTTTCAAAAGAAATGTGCTCCATTTTGGGTTTGTTCCACATGAGTCAGGTTCATTTCTAAAACCTCTGGTCTCCTTCAAATAAAGCTAAGTGTGGGGTGCTCTCTCCAGTTCCCCTAGATAAAATCAGGCATGATCTGGCTCCTCACTGAGAGGTCACTCCAATTTCTTTCTTGATCAAGGTTCCAGGGCTGTGTTCAAAACAGACGAGAGTCTGATCAGCCTCCCTTTCGCACTTTCCTTCAATCTCCATCAGCAGAGCCGCAGTCTCATGGAGGACCAGATCTCCACCCTCCCAGGAGGGGGCATTATGCCAACCTAAAGGAAGCCCAGGTGCTTGACTGCATACCATGAATAGAATCCCAGCTAATTTTATTGTCAGCGATTCTGACGCTTTCTCAGTTTTATGTGGCTGGCACACTGCTCTAAGAGTCAGCCATTCAGTCAGTGGATGAGTGAGGTTTCTCATCCTTTAGCTCCAGCGAGACCCACCAGTTTAGTTTGCCTTTGACCCTGCGGCAGCAAGGACCCCAGGGGACAGGTCCATGGTGAATCCGTGGGTTTGTTCTGAGGCTGCCCCTTCTCTGGATTACAGAAGTGGATAGCCAGGTGCCCTTGGGTCAGGCTGTCTCCAGCTGTCAGTGACAGACCAGAAAGGCAGTTGTGGAGATGGGCCTGCCAGGAAGCTGGGTTGGGGTGAGGGTGGGGGAGTAGCATGGATAGAGAGAGATGGAAATGGAACTTGGAGAGATGTGAAGAAGCTGAACCCTACGTCCACCTGAAGTGTGTCCCTGCCCCCCATTCTTTCGTTTTGTCACCCCATGTAGACCCTTCTTGTTCCCAGAAGAAGCTGCAGACCCACTGCTGCGTCACCGGTCCACACTGGTCCAGTTCTCCCAGGAGAGTGCCTTTCTTCCTCCAAGCTTTGAAAACCCAAGTTTTCATTTCACTGTCCCGCTCCCAGAAGACCAGCCTTTTTGCTTTCTGGCAGGCTGCTCTGGGAGCAGCGCGAGAAAATGCAGTCTCCTTGCCGTGGTCCCAGTGGTTGCCAAGGCCGTTACAGGAGCGTGGTGCTGGGGAGCAGGGAGGCGGCTGCGGCGGACGCAGGGTCTCTCGACGTCTAGCCGCTGCCTGAAGGGGTGGCGACGAGCTATTGAGTCCCAACAGATTTCGACTGAAAACACCCCTCACCTTGCCCTCCGCCTCCTTTGGCCATGACCGGCACCAAAATCGCTCTTCCGCTGCCTGGTTTGGGATGAAAACAAGGGAGCGCCTGCGTTGAGGGCTACCGGAAAATGGAGCTTCTCATCGAGGGAGACAGCGGCCAGCCGTTAAGACCACACTGTTTTGAGCTGGAATTTGGGACTTGCAAGGCAAACTGAGAAGTTAAAACAGGGTTATCAGGATGGAATTTCCTGGAAATTATCATTTAGTGTAACTAATTCAGCTACAGACCCGAATTTATTCTGGAGACAGTGTCTTTCTTTTCTCCATGCAGCATAGTGGCTAGGAATTTGGACCTTCGAATCCAAGTGCCTGGCATTTCAGTCCATTTCCACTAGTTACTTACAAGCTGGGGAATCTTGGGCAAGCCACTGGTCCTTCCTGGGCCTCGGTTTCTTCATCTGTAAATGAGAATTTTGTTAACAGTTGCTTTGCAGGGTGGTTGTGCAACAATATAATATAGATTTCACATAAGATGCTAAGCACAATGTCTACCAAGTTCCACTAAATTTTAACCAATGCAGTTGTTGCTCTTGTTGCTGTGCTTGGGGCATAGTTGGTGCTGATTTATTTACTGAATGCTGAAAAGTGACCACTCACACACAGTCTTAGAGCAGGATCTACCACTGAGGGGCTAAAGCGCACACAGAGGCCAGCACCTACAGGACCCCCTGGAGTCAGTCATTCAGAGAGTAAGTAATGGCTCCTCTGCCAAGCACTGCTCAGGCACTGGGAACCACTGAAGTCCAAATAGGGATACTCTTTCCACCTTCATCTAGACCAGTTCCTCAACATTTACACACCTGCCATTTGGGGCCAAATGATTCCTCTTTTGGGGGGGAGGGGGGTTAGTTTGTGTGCTGTAGGGTGTTCAGCAGCTTCCCTGGCCTCTATCTACTAGATGCAAGTATAGCACCCTCCTCCCAGTTATGACAACCATAAATGTCCCTTGGGGGCAAAATTACTTTAGGCTGAGAACCACTCACTTAAGTCCATATGTTTTCTGGTAAAATTTGCCATTCCACAGTGACCAGGATTTGGTAGCCTAGCTCTGAGCTCCCCTTTCTACTCTCCTTCACTGAATACTCATACCTTCCACATCCAGGGTACCAGACAATGCTCCCAGGTGTGATATGACAGGAGAAAGGAGACAAAGAGAGTGGGGGCAGTAGGAATACCAAAGATGCCTGTGTGGTACAAGCATGCCAGTTAGTCTGCACAGCCTTGGGTTGAAAGGGGGATCAATTGGAGGCTTGTTGGGTGAGCAGAGCTTACTAGGGACTTTCCAAGAATATTCTGTTCATTGTCTTGTTACCTGTAGACAACGGGGTTCCCCTCTCCATCATATCTGTGGGTGCCCACAAAGCCACCTCTTGGGGGAAAAATATTAGGAGCCTGAGCTTTCACTCCCAGCCCAGCCCCAGTCTCTCTTTCTCTCTCTCTCTCTCTCTCTCTCTCTCTCTCACACACACACACACACACACACACATACACACACCACTCAGCACCACTGAATGGTTCTTCCTAAAGCACATCCTTATCGGGTTTTGTCAATGCCTGAAAGTCTGAAAGTAGAAATCAATTCTTTTTGACTACAGCTTTCTGCATTTGATTCAAACATATGCATCCCTGAGAGTAGCAACAATTGAGCTCCTCATTCACTTTTCCAAAGAAAAGACTCAGGAAGGACAAGGGAATAGAAGGTCCCCCAGAATCTCGAGACATGGAGGAGATACAAAGGCAAGGAAAGGAGCAGGGGGAAAGGGAGCATCCTCGAAGTCTCACCAGGTTGGGTAAGTGTTACCTAGGGCCATTGGCCAGACTCTGAACTATGGGTGAGTCAGTGTGCTCACTAGACTACAGCAGACTCTCTAGAGTGCATGGCAGAATTGC